GCCGTGGGTGCTGGGGGGAGCCATGGGTGCTGGGGGGGGACCCTGAAGCTGGGGGGAGCTGTGGGCACTGGGGGGAGCCATGGGTGCTGGGGGGGACCCTGCAGTGCTGGGGGGGGACCCCTACAGGGGGGAGCCGTGGGCACTGGGGGGGCACATGGCAAAGCCGTGTGGGGCAGAGCCGGCTGCTCTCCCCTGGCGGGTGGGAGTTGTGGGGCTGAGAGCTCGGTGGGAGCCCCTGTTTGTGCTGGATTTGGGAATTTCCCTCCCATGGGAGCCCCTTTTATGCCAGATTTGGGAATGCTGCTCCTGTGGGAGCCCCTTTTTGTGCCGAATTTGGGAATTTCCCTCCCAGAGAGCCCCTTTTTGTGCCAGATTTGGGAATTTCCCTCCAGTGGAAGCCCCTTTTTGTGCTGGATTTGGGAATGCTGCTCCTGTGGGAGCCCCTTTTTATGCCAAATTTGGGAATGCTACTCCCAGAGAGCCCCTTTTATGCCAGATTTGGGAATGCTGCTCCCCTGGGTGCCTCTTTTTATGTCAGATTTGGGAATTTCCCTCCCGTGGGAGCCCCTTTTTATGCCAGATTTGGGAATGCTGCTCCTTTTTGTGCTGGATTTGGGAATTTCCCTCCCATGGGAGCCCCTTTTTGTGCCGGATTTGGGAATGCTGCCCTTAGGGAGTCCCTTTTATGCCAGCTTTGGGAATTTGGGAGCCCCTTTTTGTGCCAGATTTGGGAATGCTGCTCCCAGGGAACCCCTTTTTGTGCCGGATTTGGGAATGCCACTCCTGTGGGAGCCCCTTTTTGTGCTGGATTTGGGAATGCTGCTCCTGTGGGAGCCCCTTTTATGCCAGATTTGGGAATGCTGCTCCTTTTTGTGCTGGATTTGGGAATGCTGCTCCTGTGGGAGCCCCTTTTTGTGCCGAATCTGGGAATTTCCCTCCCAGAGAGCCCCTTTTTGTGCCAGATTTGGGAATTTCCCTCCAGTGGGAGCCCCTTTTTGTGCTGGATTTGGGAATGCTGCTCCTGTGGGAGCCCCTTTTTATGCCAAATTTGGGAATGCTACTCCCAGAGAGCCCCTTTTATGCCAGATTTGGGAATGCTGCTCCCCTGGGTGCCTCTTTTTATGCCAGATTTGGGAATTTCCCTCCCGTGGGAGCCCCTTTTTGTGCTGGATTTGGGAATGCCACTCCCATAGGAGCCCCTTTTGTACCAGCTTTGGGAATGCTGCTCCCCTGGGTACCCCTTTTGTGCCAGATTTGGGAATGCTGCTCCTATTTGTGCTGGATTTGGGACTTTCCCTCCTGTGGGAGCCCCTTTTTGTGCCAGATTTGGGAATGCTGCTCCTTTGTGTGCTGGATTTGGGAATTTCCCTCCCATGGGAGCCCCTTTTATGCCAGAATTGGGAATTCTGCTCCTGCAGGAGCCCTTTTTTTGCTGAATTTGGGAATGCCACTCCTGTGGGAGCCCCTTTTATGCTGGATTTGGGAATGCTGTTCCTGTGGGTGCCCCTTTTTGTGCCGGATTTGGGAATGCCACTCCTGTGGGAGCCCCTTTTTGTGCTGGATTTGGGAATGCTGCTCCTGTGGGAGCCCCTTTTATGCCAGATTTGGGAATGCTGCTCCTTTTTGTGCTGGATTTGGGAATGCTGCTCCTGTGGGAGCCCCTTTTTGTGCCGAATCTGGGAATTTCCCTCCCAGAGAGCCCCTTTTTGTGCCAGATTTGGGAATTTCCCTCCAGTGGGAGCCCCTTTTTGTGCTGGATTTGGGAATGCTGCTCCTGTGGGAGCCCCTTTTTATGCCAAATTTGGGAATGCTACTCCCAGAGAGCCCCTTTTATGCCAGATTTGGGAATGCTGCTCCCCTGGGTGCCTCTTTTTATGTCAGATTTGGGAATTTCCCTCCCGTGGGAGCCCCTTTTTATGCCAGATTTGGGAATGCTGCTCCTTTTTGTGCTGGATTTGGGAATTTCCCTCCCGTGGGAACCCCTTTTTGTGCCAGATTTTGGAATGCTGCTCCCGTGGGTGCCTCTTTTTGTGCTGGATTTGGGAATTTCCCTCCCATGGGAGTCCTTTTTATGCCAGATTTGGGAATTTCCATCCCGTGGGAGCCCCTTTTTGTGCTGGATTTGGGAATGCCACTCCCGTGGGTGCCCCTTTTATGCCAGATTTGGGAATGCCACTCCTGTGGGAGCCCCTTTTATGCCAGAATTGGGAATGCTGCTCCTTTTTGTGCTGGATTTGGGAATGCTGCTCCCAGGGAGCCCCTTTTTGTGCTGGATTTGGGAATGCTGCTCCTAGGGAGCACCTTTTATGCCGGATTTGGGAATGCTGCTCCTGTGGGTGCCTCTTTTTATGCCAGATTTGGGAATGCTGCTCCCATGGGAGCCCCTTTTGTACCAGATTTGGGAATGCTGCTCCCAGGGAGCCCCTTTTTGTGCCAGAATTGGGAATGCTGCTCCCCTGGGTGCCTCTTTTTGTGCTGGATTTGGGAATTTCCCTCCCATGGGAGTCCTTTTTGTGCTGGATTTGGGAATTTCCCTCCCATGGGAGCCCCTTTTATGCCAGATTTGGGAATGCTGCTCCCCTGGGTGCCCCTTTTGTGTCGGATTTGGGAATGCCACCCCTGTGGGAGCCCCTTTTATGCCAGATTTGGGAATGCTGCTCCCATGGGAGCCCCTTTTGTACCAGATTTGGGAATGCTGCTCCCAGGGAGCCCCTTTTTGTGCCAGATTTGGGAATGCCTCTCCTTTTTGTGCTGGATTTGGGAATGCTGCTCCTGTGGGTGCCTCTTTTGATGCCAGATTTGGGAATGCTGCTCCCCTGGGTGCCCCTTTTGTGTCGGATTTGGGAATGCCTCCCCTGTGGGAGCCCCTTTTATGCCAGCTTTGGGAATTTGGGAGCCCCTTTTTATGCCAGATTTGGGAATGCTGCTCCCCTGGGTGCCCCTTTTGTGTCGGATTTGGGAATGCCTCCCCTGTGGGAGCCCCTTTTATGCCAGCTTTGGGAATTTGGGAGCCCCTTTTTATGCCAGATTTGGGAATGCTGCTCCCAGGGAGCCCCTTTTTGTGCCAGATTTGGGAATGCCTCTCCTTTTTGTGCTGGATTTGGGAATGCTGCTCCTGTGGGAGCCACTTTTATGCCAGAATTGGGAATACTGCCCTTTTATGCCAAATTTGCGAATTTCCCTCCCAGAGAGCCCCTTTTTGGGCCAGATTTGGCGACACCACTCCCAGGGAGCCGCTGTTCCCCCCCTAACCCCCACAGCACGGGTGGGTTTTGGGGGGAGAAGCTCCTGCAGGGGGAGAAAAGACGAGAGAGCAGAGGGACACAAGGGATGAACTGGGATGCACTGGGATGCACTGGGAGGGCAGGCAGGCGCCGTAGGTCTCCAGTAACACCGGGGTGTGTGTGTGTGTGTGGTTTTTTTCCCCCCAAAAAACTTCTTTCCTTCTCTCTTCCAGCTGGAGGAGCTGAAGCAGGAGGTGTCCAACTTGGCTGCTCAAGGAGCTGAGCTCCAGGCCACGGTCCTACGGCTGGAGGAGGAGAAGCAGCAGCAGGAGACAGCCCTGCAGTCGGAGCGCGGCCGCTTCCAGGAGGAGAAGCAACAGCTGGAGAACCTGGTGGCCAACCTCCAGAGCTCCCTCTCGGAAAGCCAAAGGGCCAGGGAGATGTTGGAGCAGAACCTACAAAAGCGGGAAGCCGAGGTGGAACAAAACCTCCGGGAGAAGGATTCAACCCTCCAGCAGCTCCAGCACCTGCAGGAAGTCAACGCCACCCTCAGTAGCCAACTCCAAGCCCGGGATGCCAACCTGGCCACCTCGGAGGAGGAGAAAGCCAAGCTGAGCCAGAAAATCAACGAGTTGGAAGCCAAAATCCTGGAGCTGGGAGAAGAGGGAGCGGTGGAAGGGTTGAAAACCCAGCTGAGGGAGCTGGAGGGGAGGTTGAAGGAGAACCAGCAGCGCCTGGCCGAGAAGGAGAAGTTGGCCAAGGAGAACAGCCGCCTGCAGGAACGGCTGCTTTTCCTGGAGGAATCCTTGAGGAACACCGAGGGCATCCTGGAGGATGAGAAGAGGAGGGCAGCTGAGAGTTTGGAGGGCAGCCTGGCCAGGATCGCTGAGCTGGAGGCGGAGAAGCAGCAGCAGGTTCCTCAGGATGGAGAACGTGGCCGGCTGGAGGAGGAGCTGCAGGCCCTGAGCAGGGAGCACGGCCACGTCTGCCAACGCCTCCAGGCCGAGCAGGAGAAGGTGGCCACCTTGGAAGCCCAAGCAAAACGCCTGGCTAGCGAGCAGCAGGAGAGACTGGCCACCCTCCAAGCCGACCTGTCCAACGCCCGAGCGCGGGCGAAGGAGAAAGAGGGTGAGGAGCAGAAGTTGAGGGCCGAGGTCTCCTCCCTGAGGGAGAAGGTGGCCATCACGGAGCAAACGGCAGCCCAACGCGCCGCCGGGCTGGAGGCAGAGGCCCGTAGAGCCACCGAAGCCTTGGAAGGGCTCTCCCAGCAGCTTTCCCAGGAGAAGACCAAATCCAAAGAGCTGGAAGGCGCCGTGGAACGGCTGAGGAGCGCGGAGGTTGAGTTGTCCCAGGTGGCCACCGCCGGCAGGCAACGGGAGCTGGAGCTGGAAGAGGAGGTGAAGAAATTATCCGAGGAGGTGACCTTGTTGGGCACCAGGTTGGAGGAGACACGGAGGGAGCACCGGCGGGAGCTGGTGGGCCTGGAAGAAGAAACTCAACGTTTGAGGCAAGAGGTGGAACGGGGCAAAGGGGATTGCGCCGCCGAACGAGCCCGGAAAGCGGAGTTGGAAGCCCAACTGCAAAACTCTCTCAACGAGCAGAGGGTGGAGAGGGCAGCACAACGGGAGGAGCTGGCCCGCTCCCGGGAGGTGGTGGAGGAGAAGGAAAAGGAGGTGGAGGAGCTCCGCCAGAAGAACATCTCGCAGGGCGAGGAGCTGAGGGAGCTGCAGAAGATGGTGAGCAAGTTGGAAGGAGAACTGGCCTTGGCCAAGGAGAGCACACCCAAGGTGGACAACGAGCTACAGGGCAGGGATGCGGAAGGTGGTGGCATCAAAAGCTCGGAGAAGATCCACCAAGGGGAGCAGGAACCTTGTTCCAGCCAAGATCTCTACCAGGAGAAGGTGAAGGAGACCCAAGCTCTTCGTGTGCAGGTGGAGGAGCTGGAGCAGAAGAGCAGGGAGCAGCAGGAGGCCATGGCCACCCTGGAACGAGCGGCGGCGGCGGAGAAAGCGGAGCTGGAGGCCTCCAGGAGGGAAGCAGCCCAGCAGAAGGAGAAGGTCTCGGAGCTGCAGAAGATGTTGGAGGCCTCCAGGTCGGCTCAGGCTCTTCAGGACGGCGCCGTGGAGACCCTTCGGAAGGAGCTGCAGGAGAAGGGCAGGGAGTTGACCCAGAGCAAGACCTCCATGGCCACCGTGGAGAAGGAGTTGGCGTCCCTCCGCTCCGTTCTACAGGAGAAGGGCCGGTCGGAGGAGAACTGGAAGGACCAAGTGTCCCAATGCGTCCAGGAGATGGAGAGGAAGAACAGCTTGATCGGCAGCTTGGAGCATGAGGTCTCCATCCTCCACCGGCAGGTGACGGAGAAGGAAGGGGAGAGCAAAGAGTTGAAACGTCTGATCGTGGCCGAGTCGGAGAAGAGCAAGAAGTTGGAGGAGAGGTTGAGGGTTCTGCAGACCGAGATGGCCACCGCCGCCTCCCGGGCGGCCGAGAGGTGCTCCCTCATGAAGGTGGAGGTGCAACGGTGCCAGGAGGAGATGGAGAAGCAACGTTTGACCTTGGAGGCCCTCAAGAGGGACCGGCACTGCCAGAACGAGCGGGAGGAAGAGCTACGCCAGGAGGTGAAGGTCTGCCAGGACAAGTGCCACCAGAAGGAGCAGCTCCTCGCCGCTCTCCAGCAGGAACTTGGTGGTGCCCAAGCTCTGGCCGGGGAACTGCCGGCCCTGAAGCACCTTTGCCAGCAGCTCCAGGCTGAACGTGCCACCTTGGAGAACCAACACCGCCAGGAGATGGAGCAGAGGGGGAAGACCTTGGCTGCTCTTCAAAGCGAGTTGGCTCGGGTCAAGCTGGAAGCATCTGAGGTCCTTTCCCTCCGGGAACGATCGGCCGAGCAGGATCGGGCCGTCCAGAGGTTGCAGGCGGAGGCGGCGGAGACGACGGCCAGGCTGGTGGGACTCCAACAAGCCAACGCACGGTTGGTGGAGGAGAACAGGGGGTTGGGGGAGAGCAGGAACCGAGGACAGCAGAGGTTGGAGGCCGAGTTGGGACAAGTGAAGGAGAGACACGCCAGGGAACTGGAGAGGCTGCGGTCGGCGTCGGAGGAGCTGGTGGCCGGGAGCCGGCGGGAGGCCGAGGAGACGGCGTGCAAGTTGGAGGCCATGAGTAAAGAGTATGAGAACAGCAAAGCCACGGCCAAGGAGGAGAGGAGGAAGCTGCTGGAGGAGAGGCAGAAGCTGACGGAGCAGGTAACGGGGCTGGTGGCACCTCCCCCCCTTATTGGGTGGGAAAAGGGGGTGGGTTTTCAGCTCAGGGAACTTCCACAAGATACAGGCCTATGGTCTACATCTTCAACACTGCGTAGATCCTTCTTCCATCAGCTCGTCCAGTCTCTCAGAAAAGTTTCTTGCCTCCACGCCATCTTTTGGCGAGGAGTACCTTATTTCACTGAATTTCACTGAATTTTTTATCCACGCCATCTTTTGGCGAGGAGTACCCTATTTCACTGAATTTCACTGAATTTTTTAGAGTTGGAAGGGACCCTAGAGATCATCTAGTCCAACTCCCCTGGAGTTGGACCACCCAACTTCCCTGGAGTTGGTCCAAAGCAGGACCACCCAGAGCTTGTCAGAGCATGTTACTCAGGAGCATCCAGGTGGGGCTTGAAAATCTCCAAGGAAGGGGACTCCACACCCTCCCTGGGCAGCCTGTTCCAGGGCTCTGCCACCCTCACCCCAAAGAAGTTTCTCCTCAGATTGGAGTGGAACCTCTTCTGGTCCAACTTGTGCCCGTTGCCCCTCGTCCTCTCACTGGGAACCACTGGAAAGAGTCTGGCTCCCTCCTCCTTCAACCCTCCCTTGAGATGCAGTTCCTTGTCCCTCTTGAACTGGGGAGCCCAGAACTGGACACAGGATTCCAGTTGTGGCCTCCCCAGTGCAGAGCAGAGGGGCAGAATGACCTCCCTTGACCTGGTGGCCACACTCTTCCCTACACAGCCCATTATTCCGTTGGCCTTTCTGGCCACAAGAGCACACTGTTTGCTCATTGTCATTTTGTTGTCCACCAGGACCCCTAGATCCTTTTCTTCAGAGCTTGTCTCCAGCAGGTCCACCCCTAACCTGTATTGGTGCCTGACATTCTTCTTCCCCAGGTGCAGGATCCTGCACTTTTCCTTGTTGAACCTCATGAGGTTCTTCCTTGCCCAATTCTTCAGCCTGTCCAGATCTCGCTGGATGGCAGCACAGCCCTCTGAGGTAAATTCATAGTATGTGCTGCCTCCTTCCAGGAAATCTGGCTATTTAGAGACCACTCCTCACCCCCGCAAAGCCAGCTCCTTCGCTGCATCCCTGCAGAGCCCGGGCTGGGACACACACCTCTGCAGGCAACCACTGCATACGGGGCAGCAGCTCACACCCAGAAATCAAC